ACCAGCTAAATTGGCTGGGTTTGTACAACACAGAGACACAAATTACCTTGCATGTTTGACAACCCTAACCTGATATTTTAGGTGTTGAATATTTACCACTGTCCAGAGTCACTGGCAGTTGGGCAGCATATAAATTTAATAAATAAATAAAACCTGACTTCCACAGGTGATATAGTATTTTTCTGATATTATGTTGTGTATTACATAATTTGTTGCTCCAAAAATTGCAGTAACAATGAGCTCTTAACTCCAAAATGAATTTATGTAATTATTATTTATGTAAGTAAAGATCCATAATACACAGTGGTGGATTGCTACCAGTTTACCCCGGTTCGGGCGAACCAGTAGCAGCAGCGGTGGGAGGCTCCGCCCACCCACTCTGATGTCTCTGCGCATGCACAGAAGGACATGCGCAGAAGCGTTGTTCGTGTGCACGAGTACGCAAGTGCCCGCGAGCGAACCGGTAGCAATGGGATTTGAATCCCACTACTGATATTACAGCATGTATCACCTCTATCCCATTAAATTATGCCCGTGTGATCTAATGACATTTTGGAATAATAGGTGTCTTAAAAGAGAAAAAAAAACTAGTCTCGTAATCAATCATAAATTAAATCTTCTAAAAATTACATTACCTGTTAAAATAGAGCAGAATTAATATTATGGAAAATTGTTTCTTCAAAACATCATATTCCCCAACTGTTAACATAAACTGCTATAGCCTCTACTGTAGTAGAAAAAAGGATCCAATTTAGGAATGATTTTATTTATAAAATATATTTGTGTTTGGGACACATTTGAGACAGTACCACTTGAAGGTGAGGACAAATCAGATATGTAGGCTATCATACTAAATACCCGCCTTTTCATTTATTGTTAAATCTTTGTTGTAGTATATTTGCAACAGAATCAGCACATTTTCTCCCTTAGGGCAAATAACTTCACAACACAGGGGACCCGGGAGAGAAAAATACAGTAACTGGTTTCCTGAGTTAGTTGCAGACAGAAAATATGAGTATCTGGGCTTTAGAGGTAAAATCAACATTTTCCCCATTGCAAAATATATTTAATAGGTCTTTGCATCATTTCATAAATATGAAACACATAACACTGATACATAATATTAAAATGTTGGGAATAATGACTAATTTATTCAGTTTTTTGAACTATATTGACAATTCAGATAATCAGGGATTTGGCTCATATTTTTTCTGTCTTCTTTAGCAGAATAATTTTTTTGACAAGCAGGACAGAGAAGCCATTACTTCCTCAAATATCCCAGATGGAGGACAAATGACAACTATTGACAGCTATCTTTTTCTCTTATAATTTGTTAGAACAATGCTTTGTCTAGAGTATTTCATGAATATAAAATAGCGGCTATCATAAAAACTGGCAGTTAGAATGGCCAGAACAAAAACAACGTAGATCCCTTTAATGTGAGACCTTCCAATTTCACTGAATGCATAAATTGATTCAAAGTAATCAGATGGTAAGGCAAAAGAATTCTCCAACAATTTATTTTACTGTACTCTACATTGTGGTCTTCTCTGTTGTAATCATCCTATGGCAACCATTGTCAGTCTTCTTGCTGCACTGATACATCTACTGTATTTAACATCTGGGACCTATCAGTCTGCTGCAAAGGCACATCTAATATATGGAACATCTGGTACCAATCACCCATCTTCACTGTTCTTTGGTTTCTTATTAAGGGAAATTTAACAAGTCATGTACTTAAGTGATGGGGTTCAGGGTCATATATCTCCCTAATCGAGGTCAATAAGAAGCACATTTGAGACTTTATCATGCTGTTCGTATTTATCAGCATATACCCTCATATTGTTATGTACTTGAGGACCTACAGGTCTTCCTTCCATAACTTGGTGCCCTTTGAACATTGAACCATAGCTCCTAAAATTCACCCACCAGTAGGCCCTACTAAGTAACAAAATTAAATTGATGGCAACCTGGAAGCTCTGAAGATAGAGAACAAATTAAATGTGGTTGAGTTCTGCTGGTTTTGTATGAAGAAGGTATTGTTTAAATTTTGTAGTGTGGTAATTTGTTTTTTCCTTATTTACTTATCTTGCTTTTCAAGCTAAAAAGCATGTATACCATGAAAGAGACCAGGAATAAACTACTTATTAGAAGCAAAAAATTATAACATTTCAATTTATACTCAGTAGTACTGATGTCTAAACATGTAAACCCTTAGCCATAACATTAAACCATAGTTTAACACAAAGGTTTTAGCAGGTTATGCTCCCTTTCTCTTTCCTTCACTACTTGGGCTAGAAACTTTAAACTGCAATGAATGTCAGTAATAGTTCAACAGGTCAGATTCATATGTTTCGTTTAAGTTGGCTTGTGTCAACAAGCCATAGTAAGTGCATTGCCTAGCCACAGTGAGCTCAAGACTTGCCATGACTTCTGTGCATAAATCCCAGAGTCTTATCTCAGTTCCTTTATGTGGCCTTAATCCTCCCACCACAGGGTTAATGCTTTTCATACAAACCAACCCATTAACTGTGGCATGATCTGAGGAACTCGGTAGCAGCAAAAATGTAAACTTCTATGTGGAAATGGAGCAAGCTGGCACTGGCCTACTCTGTCTCCTAATCTGTCCAATTATCCTAGGTAGAAACCAGAATAGAAAGTACTTAAGAAGCCATAATCACACCGTGCAGAAAGAGGAGAGCGTATGGTTGCTTTTTTGTTTTGTTTAATGATATAATTAGTAGCTTCTTGGTGCCAAGGAAGTAAAGTTTTTATATTCCGTAAGAGAAGCTGCATTCGCAAGACATCATAATTTGGGAGTTTAGACTCTCCTACATATTTTTAGGACAGTGGGCAAGCAGCAAGGACATAAAGCTGTTTTTGGTTCTGGAAGCAAGGTTGCAGGTTATTTAAGTCTGACGGTATTATTGTTTACACTCTTTATTTCCTTTGTGGTAAAGGCTTCGGGGAAACTTTTCAGGATCAGTTTCCTGAAAAAACAGAAGGCTGAAAAACTGTGCTGAGTCCTGCAATAACTATTTCATTACAAATATTAAGTCTAAATAGGTAGTAAGATAATAGAAACATTCAGGTGTAAAGATTGTTTTTAAAAAGTATTATTTTAAAATTATTTTAAAATTTCAGGCTTAATTTTCCATCCAATCACTAAAACACTGGATTATTTTTTCTAGTTGGCAAACTGTTCATATAACAGTAATCCTTGGTTTGCTTAATGAATTCTTACAATTGGCTAAGGTTACACATATTAAATCAAAATCAAACAAACCACATTATTACTTACTACAGGCTTCTCTAATTTTCTTACTTCACAGATTTGTGGACCAACTTCCAGAATTCTCATAAATACGATACAAACTGGAATTTTGGGAAATAAAGATTCCATATGGCTGGTTTATTGTGACTGTAAACCTGGTCTCAGATGAAGCAAAGTAGTTTTAGTCTTTTTTCCTCCTCTTCAAGTTGATCATCCAAACATTTTAATTTTCTGCTTTGGTTTGTTCAGTTGTTATTAGTTGCCAAAGTCATACCACAATAAAAATATTTTGAAGACTAAAAGGCAGCAGATGTATTACTATTAGCTTCTAAATGTGCTGTGTATATCAAATCAAAATTTGAGTTGATGGTGTGTAATATAGATCTTGTGTCATCAAGTCAGGGTTGATTCTTAGCAACCACATAGATAGATTTTCTCTCTGACAATCTGTCCCTAACCTGGGCTTTCAGGTCTTCCAATGAGCTACTGATTACTACTGTAACTCAATCCATCCACCTTACTGCTGGTCGTCTCTCCTTCTTTTCACCATTCCCACTACTAGCTCCTTCTCAAGAGAACTAGATCCTCACATAATGTATTCAAAATTGATTTGGACTCCTTCCTAAATGGCTAGAAATCTTCTCAATTTAAAAATTCCAGATTTGATGCCAAATTAGTCTAACTGTGCCATTGCTATATAAAGTTGCCCTGAATTAAATCTTAGACACTTTGGCAAGCCAGTTGGATATTTGAATGTGGGTTCTACACAGGAGAAAATAGATTCTGCTTAGATACTAAAAGTGAATTACAATCCTTTCAGTGCAAATATTTCATCTTAATCTGGACTGGCTTTGGACTATTGCAGAATTGTTCTACTTAATTTGTCAATTGGAATTAAGTCAACCATGTAATGTGATTTTTATGGGTTATTGCACCAAACCGGGTTTCTTTGGTTAGAAAAAGCAAAATTTCTTCTAAGTTTGTTTTGTTAATAAATAAATATAGTATAAAATTTCACTGCCACCATCCCTAAATGAAAATTTAGAATTCTTATACTGATGTATTGTCTCCTTTATGAGTTCTTTTTCTGGGATCTTAGGCAGGAGATGGGGTTTGTTATTCTATGACTCTCATTTTATTTATTCGGAGGACTAGTTGTTTACAAACAATTATAACTTTAACAACAACATTATTTGAACAGTTAATACAGTATATAAATTGTTCATGTTTCCTCTTTTCTTATTTTTAACATGATTGCTTTTTCACAAGAACTACCAATGTGTCTCACTATATATATTACTATATATATGTTCGTTTCCCCTCTCCTCTCCATCAATTGCCTCTTTATTTTATTACCATCTTCAATCTCTTTTTAATCTTTTTGTCCTATTATTATTACAAGAAAATGCCCAGACCAGCTTTATTTATTGTAGTAGAATGTACATAAGAGATAATATAATTGTGGTTATCACCATTAGAAGATTTTAAAAGTAATCAAAAGAAATTATATGCCATCCTATTTCTGAGGCCTAACCCCACAGTCCTATTTCCTATCAAAGCAAATGATGGAGGAAAAATTAGAACTATCCAATGTTTAGTACATGGCCTCTTGAATTTCTGAGCAAAATATTCCTTCTGAGGTGATTTTTTTTCAAGTTTTTAACTAACAGAACATAAAAACATATCTGTCTTTGTATCTGATTTGCTATCCACTTTACTCTTGTAGACGCCTAGATGCCAATCTGATCTCTGTTGTACCTGAAAAGAGCTTTGAAGGGTTGCCTGTCTTACGTCATCTCTGGTTGGATGATAATGCCCTGACAGAGATCCCTATCAAAGCACTCAATAATCTGCCAGCTCTACAAGCAATGACATTGGCGCTCAACCGAATCTGGCACATTCCTGACTATGCCTTCCAGAACCTGACTAGCCTTGTGGTATTGTAAGTATTTCCTTTTTCTTCCATTTATTATTTGTAGTTTTTTGTTTGTTTATTTATCAGTTGGTATGCCACATCAGCTACTAAAATAACTCTGGTCTAGACAGTTTACTTAACAATGACCTAAGAAGGCCACAGAAGCTAGTAAATTCTCCTCGCCATCATGTTTTCCCACCTTTTCTGCCAGCAGAAATGATGAATTTGCAACGTAGGCATCTTAGAACGGAATTTCAGAAAAGCTATTACTTTGTTTCTATGGATCTCCAAAATCACTATTTCCAACAAAGTCTATAGAGCTCCATAGTGAATCACTAGCATGTAGACACAATATGTTCCTTTTGTTTTCATCACTGTAATGGCGCTAACTACTGTATATGGAGAAAAAAAGAAAGAACAGCTCTCAGGACATGCATCTAGAAATGCGAAGAACCTGCTGTCCACCTCAGGCTTCTGTAAATCTTGTAGCAACCCAAATCCCCTCAACCTCAAGCCATAGAAAAGAGAAGAAAATCAATAAACTCAATTGACTTGACATTTTGAATGAGGATCATCCTCCATCAAAAAGAAAACAGCAAGTGGCAGAATACTATAAATTCTGTATGTAGAACACTATAAAATACTATATTAAATACTATAAAACTTGAAATACTATATTAAATACTATAAAACTTAAAATACTATATTAAAATACTATAAAACTTGAAATTTCAAATTCAGTTGAAAGGAAGAGGCAACACCATCAAGCTAACATTCCCTTTACGGTGCCTAGGGTTCTATAACTTACTGCAGGGACTTGTCCAAGCAGGATCTAAGAATTGGACATGATTAGCAGAAAGGGAAAAGAAGGGTGCTGAGGCCCAGAAGGTGAGAGAAAAGGTGAGGAAAGAATTCCTGAAGGCTTTGCAGAGTGCTGGCATTTCCAGCTGAAAACCAATTTCAGGGCAGGTTTTCTTATATGGTAAGTGAGCTAGAAATAAATGGATACAGCGGCTACAAAAGGATGATATCATGGGAATGACAGGCATGAGAGTTGATCGGAGAAAAATGCATATGCTTTGGGTAGAAATGTTTTCTGTGATCCCATAGAAATCTGTCAACCTAGCAAAGTAATATCTATCTTCTCCTACCCATGCATGTATGTACAGATAGAATGAGCTAAGGAAAAAAGTTTGTGATGAGTTTCTTATCACTGTAAATGTAAGTACTACTCTCACCAGAAAGTTACTGAAATAGCCATTTCTGAAAAGAGACCAAAGAACAGCTGCAGAGATGTTGTAGGAAATATGTCGTTTACAGCTTGATTAATCCTTCTGGATGTCCCTCATCTGCATTTCATTGCTGAGGATATGATCTTTCCAGGTGCAGTAACATGTTTTCCTGCTCTGCACACCTTGGTCCAAAGGGAACTACATGCCTGTTCATCCTCCGATACTGGAAAGAGACAACTTCAAAATATACACTTTCCAATCTGGAACAAAACTGTGCTAATAAATTATATTCCCATTAAGGGAATGTATACCAGTTCCATCTGCTGCTTCTGTAGGACTGTAACAGCAACACAGGATATTTTCTAAACCAGGGAACTCTCATATAGACCAGCTCATAAGAGGAGGCAGCGGAATCAACTTTCATTATTCCATGTATGGCATGTGCAGCTTTATGCAGAGTGAAATTTTGTACATCGTCACTTTAAAGGAAGATTGTATTTAACTGCATTGTTTGGAAAACATATTGAGACCCATTAAAGCATTTAAAACCTGTCTGAAGATGGAAAGGACAGAAAATATCTCAGAATTGTCATAGAAAACTTTATGAATTCTGAGAAATTTTTGAAAAGAACAAAGTATTTAATGTCCCAGCAGAAGTAAGCTTAAAAATAATTAATGAGAAAGTCTTGTCTAATGAGCAAGTAACGGGACAGTTAATTCTGAACAGTTAATATACTCTATCCCTTGTTTATTGTTTAAGTTTTGGACTGGTACACTTTATTATAATAAAAAGGCTGGCTATTTCCATTCCAAATGAAATAGGATCTCAAATAAGAATTTGTGCTCTTTCTGTCTGTAATTGGGCTCTGATCCATGAAAAACAGTACTAAATATTCATTTCTTTTGCTGCAGCAGATGATAGGCAGCAGAAAAGATCTCTGGTGTTGAAATGATATTGCCACAGGGAGCTTTTTGGTGCGAGCGATTCCAGTTCAATGGTTTCCTTAATTCAATGATTTCCTTACTTATTTGGAAACTCTAAATGGGGAAGGGAGCAAATGGTACTTTCCCAAACTGCACAGTGATGCCCACAGCCAGATGCTTTGCTCCTGGGAACAACCACTACAACAACTGGTCATTGGAGGGAAGGTGAAGGTGAAGCTGGGAATTGCATTCTACAACATTTGGAGGGCCTTGGGGTAGAATTATGTGATAAAAGGGGAATAGGTGTATGATTATCTAATATCTGTTGCTCTAAAAACAAAGGAGAAGGGGATGAAATAGGTTTGTATGAAGCCAGAGTCTAATACCAGGATTGAATTGGAAGCAGCAAATTTAATCAGAAACAGATGATTTGCTGTTTAGGAAATCATCTGATTCCAAGTCTCCTGGGAAACCCAGTGAAGAATACAAATTGATTGAACTGTGACTAAAGTGAACCTCTTATTTTATGATCTGTATGTACAGTATGTGTGAGTTTAAACCCCATATCATAGAAATGCATTAAGTCTTCAGTATCCTCCTCCAAAGGAAACAGAGCTCTAGGTAAATACTGGCATCCCTAAAATTTCTTATAACTTGAAAGAGAAATTGTAGTGGAAATACCAGTGAAGACATCTTTTAAATACCTTTCAGATATCCTTTAAATATTCATATACATGCTATCATGTATTCTCCATGGGGCATCTGGCTTGACAACTGCTCCCTTAACCCGGGCCTGTCTGTATTCATGTCAGAAGCACCTAAAAAGCTAACCGAAGGATGCTTCTGGATTTGCCAGTGACAACACTGTTGCCCAGGTGTGTGAGAAAGATATAAGTGTCATACCCTATTCTGCTTTTCTGGTGGTTAAAAAGTGAAAAAGAGAAAATTCCAATAACATCACCAGTTGTTCACCTAGCATTTTAAAATGTGGTTAGATATTTCAGCCCTTTTATGGGAGAGAGACCAATCTCACAAGAAATAAATACAATCAAACTTTTATAAAAAGAAAAGACAAGAAGAACTGTAATAGCTCATTTTAACTTTAGATGTTCAATGCCAACATTCCCTATTGAAGAAGGTAAATTCAGTACCACAAGCAAATGACAAGATAGAACTACCAATAAATAGAATGAGATTTAAAATTATAAAGAGAAATTATTTACTCATGAGCAAAATACATGCATAAAAGGCTGAAATACTATATAGACAACAACTGAGTGTCCACACGGAATTAAAAGATAGGACCATTTAGTAACGCACGTTAACATTCTAATACAAACTCTTTCCTAGACGTATAAACTATTCCTTCAGAATTAGGACCTGAAGCATCTGTTACTCTGCTTCAGTTTTCTTGGATTTCCTTTTTTCTGGATGTTCTAAAACTTAATTTGGGGAAACCTTGTTAATTTCTGCTTTTCTTGGCCTCAATCTAGCAACTTCAGTTTTGGCGTTAAAGTGCTTCAAGTTTTATATTCTGGAGTTGGGGTATCTTTCTGTGTACATAACAGGAGAGCCATATCTTGTAAAAATGTGCATTGGGAATGGTAAATTTGTATTGTGAATAATTGTCTGCACCTTGTAGGCTTGCCAAGAAGCTGGCATTCACTATCAAGATATGCCTATATAATAAAAGATTACAATGCTGTGTAACATTTTTCATGTCCCTAGAATGTTTATGTACATTCAAAACATGGCAAGATGTTAGCAGATAGTTTTACTTTCTGATTATATTGGATAAGATAGATGAAATAAAAACATTTGCAAGATATATAAGATTTTATGTTCCACTAAACAAATAAGAAATTGCTGTTCTGAAAGTGGTTTCCATTTAGAATAATCCTAAATGTTTTCTTTTCTGCTATTCTAATATGATATACTTATTACAGTATATACTCTATCCCGTTTGCCACTGATTTAATGTAGGAAATATGGATGTGAAGAATGATAGAAGTCCATGCATCCAAGGACTACTTCTGAAATGGTCAAACCATCTGTAACATAACCAACAAACTTGGCGAGGATTACTACAACAGTTATTTTATTTGTTAAGATTATTTAATATGGAGAAGAAGATGGAAGGATGGAAGAAAAGTCCCTCTTTTCAAATATTTACTGTCTCAACTTAGATTATGAGTCAAACTTCTTTTGTTTGTGTTGTTACAGAGCTGGTGGCAAAGATGGGTGTTCCGTTTTCCATGAAAGTTCCAGTCTTTTAGTTGCTTGTAAGATTATAAAATGTTTCTTGGGGGACTGGAATGTTCATGGTTTGCTTCATTTCAAAACAGAACAAAACATTCCAAGCCAAATTTAAGCCAGAAACAGCTCAACCTTTGTATCTTTCTGTTTCTCTTATACAGTCATGATTATGTTTGTGTGATAGAGCAATGCTGATATTCTCGTCTCAATGTAACACTAATTAATTCTGATATCAAGAAGAGTTGTCTGAATATTTTCTCCCAAACTTAGGATAAAGTGAATAGCAAATGCTAGTGAAAGATCTCTTGTATAATGGAACAGAGCAGTGTTCAGAGTTTAAATATTAACTACAGAATAGATATGTTATGCAGATTAAAACTATTCCATTCAGGGTACATCTGCTGTATGTTCTGAAGCCTCTAAGCCTCTTAGATTTATCTTACAGCTGCAAATCAAAGCTAGTTGAGTTGCCTGTGTGATCGTATTCTTCTCATATGTCCACATGAGCACATTGTGAATAGTGTTACTATTATTATATATCCAAACTCTGGATTTTCAACAAGGGGTCCAACTTTCCGTGAAATTTAAATACAGATATGATCTTTATGTAAAAGTTCACAGTAATGTCAGGGTACTCTGATCTAACTATGTCCCATAAAATTCGATAGAGGAAAACATCTGGGTTTGGTGTGTATTGTTTTTCTATTGTCAGTGAAGACTCATTACTTTATATTCAAATGTTCTGATTTAGCTTTTGAATGAAATTAATCTCTTATATTACAAGTTAGAGTGATCCAAGTTTTTTCTCTTGGGCAAATCCTTTTTCTGCCTATGCTAACCTTAAAGGACAAGAAAAACTTGTGGCCAGGAATATTTATGGATGTCACAGGGTTCTATTTCTCAACCACATACTTACTCTCATCCTCATACATTGAGGCTGCCTGAAATTCCCACTTAGCCAAACCTCTGGACTTTCAGACCAAGTGAGTTTGGATTTATGTTTTTTTCTCATAATGCCAATTTAGACTAAACACAAGTAATTATAATTCCATTGACTCACCTGCTGATGGTTAGAATCTTCCTCGAGGCATGGCAAATCCAATTGCACTAGGAAACTGTACTTCCATTCTATCACTGTCCTGATTATGAGCTGATACATGTATTCTTTGAGCACATTGTGAAGCACTGTTTTTCTCACTTCTGGACTTTGCATTGCAGAACCAGTGGCAATATCAGGGTTACCAAGGGCACTGCCTAGAAGGCACAAAAGATTGGAATGACTTGCTTTCTCTCCTACAAAATAGTGCCATGATTCTCCCCAAGACTAGAGACCACTTGGATGAACAGCTTAATTGTTCATATACTATATTTCATTTTAGAAGATTTATTTTTGTCTGATTCTTGATATAAACCATAATATTTGCAAAGGAAGCATTATTTTCCTTTGCTCTAATCCAGTGATTTCAAACTTGGCAACTTGTGGATATGTGGATTTCTGGCATGTGGACTGGGAATTCTGGGAATTGATGTCCAAAGGTCTTAAAGTTGCCAAGTTTGAAAAACACTGTTCTAACCCATCAAATCAAGCTTTGTAAGCCCCAGTCAAAGTAAGAGAGCATTGACCTGGTTGCCTCAGCAATAGGAATGCTTCCCTTTTTCTCTCAATGTTCATTACTCCAGCAAAGCGTCCAATTCTCTCTTTCCAATCATGGCCAAACAAAGGGGTACTTTTTAGTAAACAGAAATAAACAAGACAGGGCATTGCATGCCACAACAACTAGACACAAACAAAAACAGTTTCCTCCCATGCCATCACTCTGCTAAATATCTAATTCCCACAGCACTGTCTTATGCCTAAGGATATCTAACCATGTGGTAAGGCTATATTGCTATTGTCCTTCTCATCTTCTCATCTTTCCTACTACCTTCTTCTATTAGTATCTTATGATTTATCACTTGATGTTTGTATCTTATGATTTATGTTTGTATCTTATGATTTATGATCTATGACTTCCCACTTTGTTGTTTGTATGTACACTGACAGCTTATGCACCGGAGACAAATTCATTGTGTGTCCAATCACACTTGGCCAATAAAGAATATTCCTATTACTGCAATTACTACCTATTACTACCTCATCATTCCAGCTTTGCACTAATAAAGCCAGTCAGGACACGAAATGTGATCTGAAGGCATAATGAGGCATATTAAAGAACACGTTGACCCAGCTGTGTTTCTCCCTCTTCTTGGTGATGTCTGCAGGATGTCACTGCTAAACTTTCTCCCTTCCCTGCCATTGTCTTTGGATTTTGAAGATTAAAAAAAATATATCATGTAGACTTGATAAAGCAGACAGAGAAAAATGTGTGGTGTCTGTGGCTTCATTTCTTTGAAAAAGTTCTGTGTGAGGTCAGTAAGAGAATAGTTTAATTGATAAATATGTTTTGTGACTCTTGTAGCCATTTTTGTCAGACAATTTCTGATCTGCTCAAAATGGTACATATACCTAGGAAACTCAAATGGTATCTTTGGCTATTTTAGGCCATAGTGAAGGTTTTCAGTGCTAGTAGTATTTTTGATTATATCAACAGGAATACAATAAATCCTGGAGTTTTAAATTGAATGAGCTTGAAAATTGGTTAATTCACGTCTGGTTTTGTGTTCCCTTTAGTTGTTTGAGCAGTGTATAAACTACTGTATGTAAAGAACAAAGTATTTAATAAGGCTATTTCATTCATTCAGATCTCGGATGTCTTCTGCTTGTGTTCCCTTTATTTTTTTGAGCAGTGTATATATATATGAGCATTCTTGACCTTTAGTGTTCAGTTTACAGTTTCTCTTCAAACAAAAAAGAAAGAAAACTGTTTGATGTTCAGAATTTAAGCCTCTCCTTTCTCTCTGCAGACACCTGCATAATAATCAGATCCAGCACTTGGGAATACATGGTTTTGAAGGACTCCATAATCTGGAAACTCTGTGAGTTGCTGGATTTTCTTTGTGCTTTTACTATTTTTGTACAGGATTTTGTGTTTCCTATGCTATTTATTTATTTTTGAGTGATTGTTTGATTATGTGCCATTAAGTGAGTGTTGATTCTTGGAGATCACATATGTTTTCTCCAGGACAATCTGAGCCCAGCCTGGTCCTTCAGATATTCCATAAGGATACCCATCACTACAGTAACTGAGTCTATTAATTTTGCTGGTTGTTGTGCTCTTTATTCTTCTTTTCATCTTTCCCGGTGTTGCAGATTTCTCAGGGAAGATAATGTGTCTAAACTTTGATAATTTGTGCCTTGAGTGAGAACCCTGGATTAATTTGTTCTATGATGTATATTTGTGTTTGTTTCCTGATATTCTTAGCAATCCTTTCCAACAAAGTATAAACATGTCAATACAGTTCCTATCCTGCTTCTTCAAAGTCCAATTTTAACTTCCATAGAGTCACATGGAAAATCATTGCTTGAATGATTCTGATCCTTGTAGGAATAAATACATCACAGCATCTGAATATCTATTCCAAGACTTTGGTGGCTCTCTATCAAATGTTAGTCTGCAGCATATTTCTTGACTGGTTCCTTTATTTATGCAAAATCTTTATACAAAACAGGAAGCCATAATCTAATCAACGAGGGCAAAACAGACTGATCCTAGGTTGGCAAATGAGTTAAACATAACTATACACTCTCTCCTTATGTTGTTCAATATAAATGTTGAATATATGTCAAGGGAGGCTGAACTGAAAGAAACTGAGCATAGTTTTAAATTGCAAGCCTAACAGAAAACTGGGGGGAAAAGATACGTCAAAGGGCTTGGAATTCTTATGACTGTCATCTGTCTGTTAACATAATAACACTTCAAAAACAGAACAGAATAGGATGCATCTGGAGTGGCAGGAGAAGCTGGCAAAAGAAAGATGGAATTTTTAAAAAGAGTCAAATCTCTGCAGAGAAAAACCATCCAGAAAAAAATTCCCCCATGGATCCCTATAGAATAAGCAGTTGGGCACCCATCCACAATGTTGCCAGCTGTTCCAGTCTAAGCCCATTCCCTCTTCTTGTTGCATGACCCAGGGTGGAGCTGCAATTAAGAGGTTGGAAAGAATTCCAGTAATGTTCTGCAGGCTTTGTATATCTTCTTTACTATTGCTACGTAACAATTCTATCATCAGGAGGTTAATAAAGCTGGTTGCTCTTATTAAATCTCATATAATAAAACAATCACTCATTTTGAGTACTTCCAGAAACACCTCCCCAAATTTTGTACCCTATCTGGTTATGAACTCCTGTGGAGCAAATTACTCTGCAATCATATAGAACTTTGAGGGGCATCTCAGGAGCCATAGAATCTTATTTCCCTCATCAAGGATGGAAAAGGAAGTCTCCGTCTGTAGGGGAGAGATGCCCCATTTTAAATATTCTCAGCCTGCAGAAGAGTCTATCCTATCTCCCTCAATATCAGAATGTCAATTTCCTGGAGGTGTTGGGAAAGCCCATGAATCTACAGGATCTCATAGACTTCCAAAAATACCTGGAATTAGCTCCTGATCCACTCCGGGTCTAGAGTTGCTTTAAACATTTCAAAGAGAGGGAATGCATCACAACAAAAGACCAAGGAGTGGAAAGGGGGGAATGTGGAAATGCCACACTTTTCCTTCTTCCTTCCTGCTAGATTTGTCCTGCCAGGATTTTAATCCATCAGAAGCTCTAGCTTTGGAATTCTTTCTTCAGGGATTATTTTTATATTGTACTAATCCCTGCAGTAAAGACACTCGGTTTTAGGCATGCTTGTTACACTCAACCTGAAAGTATATACTTCGGCTTTGTTTCTTTTTAAAAATGGGGTTGTGTCCTAATAAGTTACAGAAGGAAGCAGATGCTGGAAGGTAAAGCAGTAGTACCAGATTGCAATGAGGTCCCTCTCCCACCAGGCATTGCTATTGTGCAATTAAATAGCAAGGTATTTCCCCTGTTGCAATCCTTGCCACCAAATCATACTTCTTTCATAGGAGACAACAGGAAGAAAGAAGGGAACCTCCATACCTTTTCTCTTTCATGTGGTTTGGCACCTTTTCTCTGGAAGTCATTAGGGAGCCTAGCCAGTTCATCTAGGGAAAGAAGACAATACATGCAAAGAAGAAAGTGCATTGCCCAAGGGTATAATGGTCACAGAGCTAAGCTTTATTCTGGAAAGTTGATTGATTTAAACATGTTTTTGAAATTGCCTGCCACAATTTCTACCAAAATTGACATTAAATCACAGAGTTGAAGCTATCAGGTGAAATGGTGCGGAAACAACAAAGCAGAGGAAGAGAGAAACCAAATCTACGGGTATAGTAATGATGATCGTGTGGCAGGCAGAAAATGAGAAATAGGTGTTCCAGGAACAGAAGAGCATCTGTTAAAAGAAATGGAAGAGAGAACTGTAAAAATACCAAGAAGAGAAAATTTGAGCAAAAGAGGGGGGAAAAAGCATTAAAAATTAAAACAGCAAATAAGAAACAACAGATGGGGAAACTGCCCTTCAACTGATTATAAATTGGTGCACAAATATATTGAAACAGCTGTACTTCTAAATACGCAATTCTCTAAGGAAAGAAAACAACATGGGAGGCTGCTCCCTTTTACGGAGTCAGAATATTAATCCATTAGACAAGGGTTGCTGATAAAATTGGTAAACTGTAGAGATTTACCAGCCGGTATCTGGAAACTACAGAGATTGAATCTGGAATCTTCTACATATCAGACATTGTTCTGTCTGCTCTATCAAAAAACTATAGTCCCTCACAATAACATCTACTATTTTTTGCATATGAATATCCTAAAGTAACTGGTTTAAAAAAAACTGAAAAATATTGCAGAGTTGTTTTTTCAAATTGCCTGCTCGCATTTTATAGCTATGGGTATGTAAACTCTAATCCACTATTTTAAATTAATCCATTATTTTAAATTAAATTTTAAAAGCACTATGAAGCGGTATATAAATCTAAGTGCTATTGCTATTGCTATTAAATTGCAGTTCAGGCAGTGTGTTAGCTTCTTCTCCTTCTCAAAGTTCTCAGTGAGGAGGCAGAGAAATAAGACAAAATGAAATATGAATTATGAATAAATTACCAATTCCTAATTTACGGAAGTTTTAGTTCAGACTGTTCCAACTTGGTACCCTGCCAGCTATCTAGTGCATCATACGACTTGGAGTTTAATACAGCCGAAGAAAAGGAAAATAGGAAAGCCTATTTTAATCAATTCTTCTAAAATCAAGCGTGTGATAAAAAGTTGCAGTCTCCATTAAGTCAGATACACACTGAAAAGCAATAATAATAATAATAATGTGGGTGCTGCCTTTCTCACTCAAAGCTAATAAAATTTCAGAATGATATGACAAAGCAAAAGCCTTATGTATTCTGACAAACCCATTAAACTGATAATTTGATTTTAATTTTATTGCATGCCACAGGCAATAAAGGAAAGTTTTCTTCTCTCTTTTATTACACTGGAATCTTAGATCATCCAATTAAGTGAACAACTGAAAGTCATGACAGACTCAAAGGAAATATTTTTTCATATCGCATATAATTACTATGATATTATGTTGCTACCACAACATAATATTACATTCACCAATATGAATGGCTTTTTAAAAAACACTTTAAAACTTTAAAAGCTCATGTCAATCAATGAGCAATAATCATATTGACTATATTTACCCCAGGGTCAGAAGCAAACTGTCTCCAAATGCTAAATGATGAAAACTAAGAATGGAAGTCTATATTGCTGTTCTCTTGGGCACTTCCCATAAGTGTCAGTTTGAAAGCATTTGGCCTCATCAAAAGAGGCATTTAAATTAATTTATTTATTTTCTACCCAGGAAAAAGCAAGGGCCTTTCTTGGATAATTGGAATACTTTAAACATGTGTATGTACATGTATCTTAATGAAACTACATTCCTATACATATTTATTTGAGAATAAGTCTCACTGAATATGGTACAATTTGTTTCTTATTTAAAATGCATAGAGCTATGTGGTTAGCATATAACATTACATGTATTGCTAAAGAAAATATGTTAATAGTAAGAGACGAACATACAATATAAATGTAAATTGGAGCTATTGGATTATGAGGATCAGAAATAAGTAATGAACAAATATAGTAAGTTTAACTCAGTTTAGAGACAATGGTGATTTCAAGATTTTTGTGTAGAAACAAGAGAAATATTTTAGCAGAGAAAAAAACAAAGTAAAAATTCTTGTAAGTAATTAAGAAGTAGTAATATTGGGATAAGCAAACGTGGACAGTGAAAAAGCCAACTGAATCCAAGCATAAATTTATATCCCCCCTCTGCCCCAGTCAATAATACAATTTAGAAAATTGTTTCTGTAATCAGCAAACATATTTATTTTTTTCCCTTTATTTATTAAACATGTTTCTGTCCTGCTGCAATCAAACAAGACTCTCAGTGGTTTACATAGAATAAATACTACAGTTAAAACATCCATGGTGCCGTCTAAAAACTTGACAATCATAAATAAGAAAAGTAACAGTAAGCAATGTTAAGCAAAAGCCACAGGAATTACACAAAAGTAGACAACAGAGAATAAACAGGGGCAACAGGGGAAGGCCCTCCACAGCAGCTTGCTTTTCAAGTTTTCAATGAATTAACAAAAAAAGGACACTTCCAGACGGAGCCTTTGCACAGTGCCCACTCTGACTCAGAGAAGCAACCCTCCTTACTTCAGCATATACACACACAAACCCTACACACACACACACACACACTGCAGAAGTGAAAGAATTATAGCAGTCTCTGCCAAACAGTTCTAACCAGACAGGCTGATACTGGCTAGAATAAGCGATCCTGCAAGATATCCAGGTGCCAAGCTATAAAGGGCTTTATAGGCCCAAACCATCACCAAATTCTCTACAGTACATATTTGCAGAATCTTTAACATGTTATTCTGACCTCTAACTATACTCT